TTAAAGTTAATAAAGAAAAATTAGAGCGCCACACGCGCCCCACGATGTAATACATCGGGGATAGTTAAAAAAAAAAAATAAACAAAATTAGCAAAATTTTAACTTAGTTTTTTAAGCTAAATTTTTTTTCTACTTTTGTTTTATATAGTCACGAAATTTAATTTTAAGTTACTTAGTTAAGTTTTAAGTTGAAAAGATCTTCAGCTCAAAGTTTATAACACATTCATATGTTTTTACTATAATTTTTTATTATAAACAACATTCTAAGAAAAATGTCCTACGTATGCCTGTTATTATAAGATGATCTGCAAACATCAACCAATCATAATAAAGCCCGCTATGCTGGTCTTCTTAAAATTAAAAAAAATACATGTCCAATTCCATGGTATTTGGTATTGAACCTATTTGTCACACAGAAAGAGTATCATCTTTTTGATTATTGGTGTAATTTGGAAGAACATATGCACGAATATGCAAGAAAAAATTGGCACTACGTGAAGTAGAAGGATTTTATTGATTATATATTAGATTTAAACTTTTAAATAAATTTTATATATCGATATAATGTGAATAGTTTAAAGACATCTAAATTATAATAAACCATATACTTTATTCCTATTTTATAATTTTTGATCTATTTTTCATTGATAAAGATACAATTTTTTTAAAAATAAAGTATTTTTAAAAATCTTAGTAATAAAAACAAAAAAGCTTAATGTAAATCTAACCAATCAAATTAATACCTTCGATATGGTTTAAATAATACATTAATAATATATAACATATATAAATATACTTAGTTTTATGATGATAAAGAGACCCAAACCGCCTTTGATGGTATACCATTGTCTACGATGTGCAATAAATACGGCGCGGGAGGAGCTAAAGTACTACCAGCTGGAGCCATCACGGATAGTTTATTATCCTCAAGCTTGATAATATCGAGCCAAACTAACCGTTGGCTCATATGTATAGAATGTGTCACGAAACCGGGGTTAAGGAAGTTAGCAGTAATTTTACGAGTACCACTATATGCTACATATTCAATTTCAAAAGATTGTCCGTATTTTAAGTTTTTAGGTGCCTGTTGGATCTTAGGCTGTGGAACACTGGAAAATAAATATGGTGGGCTAAATGTTTCAACACGGAATTCAGTTGGATACGGTCCAGTAAACATTGGAGTTCTATTTGGGTTTGATCCTGTTACTAGGACTTGACCTGATGGCATTGTCATAGCGACAGAATGATACATACGGGGAATGTATGATGGTTGCATTATAGTGAATCTTGAACCAGCCTGCGCTTTAGGATTATAAAGGACTGGAGTGAGTACCGGATTCTTGCCCTTGCCAAAACCGGCGGTACCCTCATAACAGCCATTGAGAATCAGAACAGTGCCATCTGCTAAAATGGTAGGATCTGGCATTAATCGACCAAAGGGCATTTCTTCTATTTCCCAAGAGGGATTACTTGACATAGGTGAAATACGTGCGCAACTAATTTCACCAACAGTCTGAGTAGATGAAATTTTATTACCACCTCCACAAACAAGAACTTCTGATTTATTACTAGAATCTAATGGTAAAAGTACTGATGCACCAGTTAATGGATAATTTCGTGCTGCCCTAGGAACATCAGGTAAGTTTATTTTAATTTGCTGAGATGTGACATCATAAACAATTGCCTTTTGGTTCGCCAAAATAAAAAGATTTCCATTAGTTAAGAGATGAACCAAAGGATATAAATTGTTTGGTAAAGTATCCACTAAAAATTGGAATGGAATAGGTTTTGCACCAGGGGCCGAAGGATAGATTTCAAAGCTAGGTACATTTATAGTTGCATTATTGACCCCTGCACCTTTCGATGAACCACCAATGATAAATAATGTACCATCAGCTAACATTTCGACGGTTGGATACCATCTATTCTCAGTAAGATTATAAACATCATTTTGCCAATCACAAGTTTTATCATCACAAGGATTAAACAATCTAATCCGATTAAACCCTTCAGAAAAACCCTTTCCAGCTTCTGCACCAGCTAAATTTACGATAGTCTAAAAGAAAGATATAGAATTAATTATTCAAATAACATTTGCGTAATTAATTTATAGACATCAAACCAATTTTAAGTAAAATTTAAAAAATTTAATTATAAAATTTGATTAAAGGTGCTTACAAACAGTTAGTATATGATAAAAATTTTACCCCATTCGGCAAGTAGGATCCAGCAGAACAAAAAGTATTAGATAATGTTGTCAAAGGTCTTATTTCATTTGTATCAAGATCATATTCTACAGAGTAAGTAGGCTTTCCATCTTTTTCAACATCTGTGGATAATTCTACTCTTTCAATGAATATTGCTTTGTTTGTATTAGTAGAGAGGATGCAGTGCATGCAAGATACACCAGAATATCCTACAAAATCCCATTGCCCACGTAATGCGGCTTGACAATTCACCAATCTTGTAGTTATCCAGAAAAATGTCACTACAGAAGCGTATATGTAAAGACAAATTTTCATATTAAGGTTAAGAAGAATATATTTTAAAACAGTCTATTACAATATTTAAATCGGTTCTAAAATAATTAAATAAAAATAGAAGGAATGGATAAGAATCGGTTGAAAATTGGTAAAAAGCATGATTTATAAACAAAAGAATCGGAAGTTATATGAAACTCTGAAAATTGGTATATTGTAGTATTGTTGATCTCATTTTTCATAATTAACACCCTTATGGGATAGCTGTTATTTTGTATTACACCGCTTCGTTTTTTGTGTTAGGTTTTTACATGGCAACTGGGTCGTCGTGTATTAAATTCTTGATCATTGATCATGCTTATTGTTCATTAGGTGGTATCTCTGGTTGATTATTATTTTTTATTTTATTTTTTAACTTATTATTGAACATTGACCATGATCATACCTTACCGCTCCATGCCATTCCACTTTGGATAGAGGTCTTATTTATACCGTAAAGATTTGTTATGCAGTTTTTTTTTTCTGATCGACTTTTTTGTGGTTTGGTTGATCTGGCTTTGTTGTGCTTTCTGTATCAATTACGTTCTGATATTCCTGAGCGCTACTGATTATCTTTGAAATTATCCTCTTTTTTATTTACTGCATGCAACAATTAACAATAATGTAACACTAATACCAGGAATACTAAAAGTACTAATAGTGTTAAAAGTGCTAACAACGCTGATAGCATTAATGGAAATAGTAGCGCTACATAGTGCTATGAAGCGATACATAGTACTATGAAGCGATACATAATACTAGGGTTTTATTAAGCACCTGTAAAATTAATAGCTTTAAATAGTATAGGAAATGCTTGGTAAAACTAAATCGTACAAAAATGTACAAATAGGAAGATAGCAAAAGATCATAATGATTTGAAAAGTATAAACAAGCTCGACTATTGCTCTTGTAAAAAAAAAAGCAATTCTAAACAACTCAGCAAAATAATAAAGGAGTAATCATGTCTTCATACACGAACAACTCAAATACTTTATTGAATAAACTAGTTATAATGTCTTCATACACGAATAACTTAGAGTATAATAATAAGCTTGTTATACGACTACTTGTATATTCATATTTAGCCTCTTTCGTAACTGCAATAAAATCCGTCGCTAAAGTAAAACCATTTTACCGAAATTATAAAAGGTAGTTCCAAGTGTAACAATACCAATATGTTAACCAATTATATTCCGTGAATTACTGTTTTTATTAACACACTCAACCAATAAGTTCTATAAATTCTTTACCCACTCGTCTATGCGCGGTTGATCATGCGAAATCTTGTTTCATAATAATAAATTAGATTTGTACTAAAAATATTTGATTCCCTTATTTGAATTAGCTATTTAAAAAATGTGATTTTATTCCTAAAAAAGAAATGTTCTAGATGAACAGAAATTTATCCGAGAAAAACAAAAACAAAAATACAAAAATGCATAAACAAATAATTAAGAGAAATAGCAAAAGAAAAAACATGTACATAAACAGATACTATAATTTAGAGAAGGAACAAAAAAAATAATCGCACAATATGATTAAAAGATTTATCGTACGAGTAATACGAACCACCCTCAACATATATTGCACTACATTCCCAAATTCACGAATCGGATAGGTTGTCCGTATCAATATCAGATATAAATATACATGTGGAATTGTTGATCAATTTTGTGTCCTGCTTACCTATCGCTAAATGGGGGATGATCATCAAATAGAAACATATGCACGTATCTAAAACTTTTTACTTTAAGTTCATTTTGTGAATCTTTTTATTATATAATTAGGCTTCTGTTACTCGCTGCCAACTTTTTTATTGAATATACGTCTATCCAAAGTCAACTAAGAAACATTTGGAAAATTGTCAAAATATGCCCGGAATCCCTAATAAATATGAAAATACTTGTTTGTGAGAGTGATACAAACCCAACAAGGAGAATTCAACGTAAAAAGTTAGAGGTGGTATAAATATATAATCACATCTTACATATAAAATTCATTTCCGTCATTTTTAATTAGTGCTCCAAGACAGGTTTAAATACTCATTTTCTTGTATTTTTGCTTTTTTCTTGGTTTTCATCACTTTGTTCACGCGTTGGAATAATCACTAAGCACACGCGCATGCAAATTACTTAAATTCCAGAAATCGACAGAAAAAATTTTTTTCTAATATTAAGTAGCAATTTAAACCAAAAACGTGATATTTAAAGTAAAAAGATATAAACATTATAGATGGTGAAACTCAAACTTTCAGGTACTTACTATATTTTCTGGCCTTCGTCTGGTATCAATTATGTAATTTTAGTGGTGGTTACAAAGATTTAATTTCCTGCGAAATATCTATCGATTATTTATATTAGTTAAATGTTTTATTTACAATTTGGGGTTACTAGACTACTAGAAGAAATGCGTTAAAACATCGTAGTATTTTAATTTAAAAGTATTTTAGATGGTCATCTGATTTTAAGTGGCAGAGCAGAGTATAAATTTCATACGTAGCAAAAGCCGGCGGAGAAAATGGCAATTCTACCCAGTGTTGGCAATTGGACGATTGGAAAATCAAATTAACCAATAGCCTTAGATGATTAATTGGATAATTGGACTCTTACAATTGGACCAACCAATGATATTCATTAGTTGCTTGTCCAATTGTCCAATTGCCAACACTGATTCTACCACTATTAGAACTGGAATGATTTGTTCATAATCTTTGTTAGAAACTCAAGGAAGGTTTACTTGACATAAAAAAAAACTTTTCGTTGTAAACTAGCTGCATTCCAACCTTATAGAAAACTATATTAACTTCCAGCAATTTCTACTATAAAATTTGCATTAATTTTATTTTAATTAAAAGTATTTTTAGAATGGTCATCTGATTTAATTATCTAATTACAGAATTAATAATTGCAATCAACATATGGGAGCTCATCAATAGAAAAGGCATAGAATTTTTCTAAGTAAAAAGTTTTTTAAATTTTAAATTAAAATATCTCAACAACTATTAAACTAAATTTAAGTTGTTTTTTTATTTTAATTCTATATAATTATAAAATGAAAATAAAAATAAAAATATTAAATTTGATGCAGTAGTTATTAAGATATTTTAATTTAAAATTTTTAAAAAAAAGTACTAAAAATTTTTTATGCCCTTTCTATTGACGAGCTCCCATATATTATTTGATATAGTCAGTGTTAGGCAATTGGACCAACTTATTTATAGACTGGAACATTAGACTTATAGATTCCAATTGGAACGTAAAAGTCCAATCTAATTCAAATTATATATTAGATTTATAAGGATGATTGATATGATATCCAACATTGATATGATATCCCTTAAACGATCAAATCTATTATGGCATATAATTCTATTCAGTTTTTTTTTTATTTCTATTGTAAATTTTTCATATTAAACTTATTAATTAAATATAAAAATATTTTAAATTTTATTAATTTATTAGTGATCTAACAATATATATTTAAATAGTTAATGAAAAAATTTTACTGAATTATAATAGAATTAGTTGACCGATTTTTGAAAAATCGGTGACTTTATTAAAAAATTATGGCAACCGATCAAATTTAGTCCGATTTTGTAATTTAAATTATCAGTCAAAATTTCGAAAAAAAAATTCAACATAAAATATATATATATATATTTTTTTAGTATTAAGATGATCTTTTAGATTTTTTAACTTTATTAACACATTTTTGAAAATATAAATTTTTACATTGCTTATTGCTAAGTTATGCAATGTCACTTAGATTTTTTTCACTTGAGCAACGCATAAGCATAATAATAAATATTTTATCTTCAGCCATCTGTTTTATATACAACACAGCCATAACATGCAATTTGTGTATCACTTACAAACATCAAATACATAATGGCAAAAAAATATCTAATTAGTAAAATAATTTCAGGCTTGAAAGGATTTTAAAATTTGCATTAAAATCTTTTGACACTATAACATTGCGGCATTATGGCACAAAAGAATTACGGCAAAAAATACAGCACATGCTGTTGCCATATTAATTTACAAAACCAATTCTACCAACAACTATATATGAACCGATACGTACAGTACATAATTTGAAATTTATCTGTATCACCTTACAAGGTTTATCGTTATGCATAACTTATTTGTGAGACGAGGCACAATCACAATTTTCATTTTTCTGGAATTAGTACCTAACCAAAGCCGGTCAATTAGCTCATGCCACATCTATTCTTGAAGAATTTACTCTGGACTGAAACTTACAGAAACTTATAACTTCAATGTTGTATAGACACATATATAGTACATTTCATGTGATTACTGTAGTTCCAAAATATTGATACGTATAGTACATGGTTGAAATTCGTACAAATGCATAATATAGATGTTAAACAACTTTAAAATGAAAGGTCATAGAAATTTTGTATGCATAACTTATTTGGTTATTGCAGAACCCCAGAATGTCTTAAACTAAATTCGGTCAATTGTTCACATTTTCAAGTCTTGATTGTGGGAGCATATCGATTCTGATAGACAAGTATCATTCATATATGCTCGATTCAAGTTGCGCAACTATTGTATTACTGATTGTCGTAAATAACCCGAGTGTTTAATTTCTATTGGCTAAATAAAGCGGTTTGATATGCAACCAAAAATAGATAAAATCTGATGAAAATAAGGATTTTTGACAACATTCTAAAAATGGTTTTTCAGCATACTGTTCTAATAACAATCTTTCTTGTGATATATAATTCAAGTAATTTAGGCACGTTCTCTTAATCGAACAATCGTGAAATGTTCGTAGCAAAAAAGGAGTAATGATATCAAAGGTATAAAAGTTTTTTTTTTCAGATGTATAAACACAAATAATTTTTTCTAACCAAAAAAATGCTTGTTATACTTTATATACAAGAATTACGTTATATATGAGAATTTGAGGTACCAGAATTTTTTCGCTTTGTTGAAGAAACGTTAAAGGCAATGGGGAATAGATTCGAATGATTTTGCGTTGATTTGTTGAGGAGATACTTCGAAAGATTAGGTATTAGAGTTATGCACACTGGGTAAGTTTTTCTTACAGAGTCTTGTAGAGTTACTATGTATCCTAAGTTATGCTGTCACACATATATAAATCATCTGAAGAATTGAAAGCACATTATGGCCAATGTTTTGACATTGAACGTTCTTCTCAGTTATATGTGTCTCGTGGGCCTTTTGGCGCGAGATTAATGATGAATAAGATACATGCTGGCACCAGCTATATGTGACTATGAAACATATACTCATTTTAATTATCAATTTAGAGGACCAAACAACAAAGGTCAGGATATTATTATTGAAGTTTGTGGATATAAAGGCGTTATCCAATACAAAGCTTGGTTTGCAAAATATATATGTATGTTGATTATTAATTAAAAATGAAAAAATTATTAGTATAATAATTAAATAATTTATTTATAGCTCGTAAAGAAGTTAATGAATTTAGATCGGTGGTAGGGAATGACAGATTTGATTTTGGAGTTGTAGTTGGAGTTTTGAAAGAAAAAATTTCGGATGAAGCTTATATCTCGGCTGAAAAATCAGAACATGATATTATTGTCACAACTTATAAAGATATGTGCTGAAATATCAAGAACTTAATCGCTAGTCGATTAAGTCAAGAATTTCATGCCTTAGAAGATAAACATAGATTCTTAGAAGATAGACGTAGATTTTTAGAAGATAGACTTAGATTATTAGAAAATAGATGTAAAAAATTTAAGTTAAATTATAAATTAATTTTTATTTCTTTTTTTGTAACTTTTTTTCTTATTTCATATGTATTTTTACTTTATATGTTTTTATTTAATTGACGATACTATCATGTTCTGATTTTTCATCTGATTGTAAATATTATATTTTTTTTCTTTCTTTTTTCTTTTATTTTCTTTATTTTTCTTTTTTTTTTCTTTATCTTTTTTTTTTTTTTTTTTACTCTCTTTTCCTTTTCTATTAATAAAGGTTTTTTGTCAATAAAGTTTGCTCAAGTGACTGATTCGCATAAATAATCAGTTTACTTTGCATGTTTATTTCATAAATTTATTATATATCAACAACAACGTTGTTGTTGAAAAGGTATATTACGCTTTGTGCGTAACGCTATGCAAGAATTTATAACCCGCATAGCAGGTTATATTTTAATCATTATATGAATTTTAATTCTTGCATTAAAATTATAAAATTACAAACTCAACAATTCCGCTTTTCGTTCTAAAGTATATTACACTAAGTGTGTGATGCTTATGCAAGAATTTAAAAACTGAATAGTTAAATTGATCCCCACCCACCCACCTAATAAAAAAAATTATATTCAATAAAAAAAAATTATATTTAATAAAAAAAAAATTATATTTAATAAAAAAAACTATATATGTTATATATATCTGTATAAAATAAGAATTAACGATACATTACATAATTCTGAATCACGTAATCAGTGTAATGATTATGATGCGAATTTAATCAAAAGTATAAAAAAACAAAAATAAATAAATAAATGTTAAAAATAAAAAATAAAACTAAAAAAATAAAAAAATAAATAGTAATAAAATAAAAAATTAAAAAAATAAACAACTAAATAATAAATAAACTTAATAAAATTAAATAAACAAAAATACAAAAAATATTAATAAAAAAATAAAAAATAAAAAATAAAAAATACAAAAAATTAAATCAAAAAATAAAAACAAAAATATAAAAAATAAAAAAAAACAATTAATAAAAAATAAATAAATTAAAAATATTAAAAAATAAAAATTAAAAAAATATAAATTAATAAAAATATAAACTGAAAAAATATAAACTAAAAAAAATATAAACTAAAAAATAACAAATTAAAAAATAATACAAGTTGAAAAAATAAATTAAAAAATATAAACTAAAAAATAAATATAAAATAAATATAAATTAAAAAAATATAAACAAAAAAATACAAATAAAAAAAATAAAAACAACAAAAAATATAAAATAAAAAAAAACAAAAAATACAAAAAAAATAAAA